TTTTTAATTGTTGTTTCGTATGGTTTCACCTTTAATGGTTCTAATTTCGAACATACTTCTTGTATTTTTTTACATGGATCCTCACAATTACACTCTTTTTTGAAATCACAATCTTTCAGTGAATGATGGCATATTTCCTTTAACTCTACATACAAACTAAACGCTTGTGATACCAAATCAAATGCATGTAACTCTTTTTCTGTTACTTGCAACTTTGTATCTCTTCTTACAAGTTTAAACCCTACCTTGTTTTCTTCTCCTTTAGGTTCACTAGGTACCGATTTATTCACAGATTTATTATGAGATTCTTTCACTTTTGATAAAACAAGATTCGCTTTTTCCATTGCATCTTCTGCTTTCTTTTTAATACCCTCATATTCTTTATTTTTTTCTTTTATTTCGTTTTTAACCTTTTCGAGTTTTTCCGATAATCCTTTACATTTTTCTTTTATTCGTTCAATCAGCTTCTTGCAGAGTTTATTTCTAACGTCTTCGTCCTTTTCATCTTTTTTTTTGCACAAAGTTTCAAGTCCGTTGGTTGCATTTACCCATTGTGTGCAATATTGGTTAAGAGTTGCCACACAGTTATTTTTATTATCAAGCTTTCCTTTAAGCTCAAGCATAGCTTGATCTTCACGATTTCTTTGTATACGATATGGTTCGCATTCCTTGTTAAGCTCATCACATTTTCCACCACCAACAGTCGTTAGATTTTGGCAACTTGACATGAATTTTCTGCAATAGGGTTCCCAAGAATCACATGTTTCTTCCATTGTATTCTTTTCTTTTGCAGCTTCTACAACCTTACTTGTTTCCATACGTGCCTTCAATGTAGTACACTTAGAATCTACGCTTTCTGTAAGAATCTTGCAAGTAGTATTCTGTGCTACACATGCGAGAGCAAACTGCGCTCTTCCTTTTCTATTCCATTCACGACATTGTTGATCAATCTTTCCTATACATGAATCTGAGTCATCTAATTTTTTCGTTTTTTCTTCCAAAAATTTTTCTTCCAATTGCTCTACAACCCTTAAACGATCACAATTCTGTTTGAGTGTATGACAAGGCCATTCAATTTCTTCAGAATCCTGAACTAGATCTTTGCATTTTTTCAATAATATCCTGCAATCTCGTTCCGTAGGAAGATCTCGTCTTGCATTCAAATGTTCCTGCAATAGATCCACTTTAAAATGTAAATCCCCTAAAAGTATAGAAATTGTACTATCTGGCTGGACACAAAACATATATAACTCGTTGCTTTTTTTTTTCAAATCCGCACACACCTTTACTAACTCTTTTTGAAGCTTCTCAAACGATGTATCATTTGTACCATGAAACTTTCCTCGAAGCTTGTCCTGCAATTCTTGGTTTGCTAATGCATAGAGCCCTTTTTTGTAGCACGCTGCCTTAACATTCTTACATTGTTTTTCAAAAGACTGATTTTCGAAATAAAAACAGTCTGATTCTAATTCAACACATTCATCTTCAGTAAGAAAGCTCGGTAATTTGTTCCATAACTCGATTTCATCTCCAAATTTTTTAAACTTTGCAGTCAAAGCGGCTTTTATTTCTTTAAATTCTTTTTCAAATACTTTACATTTATTTTCATGCTGAGTTTCATTGTCACATAAAGTTTTTAGACCTTCTTCAAGATGCTTAAAGGAACCACATTTAGTAGCAAGCACTTTCTTACATTGGTCTTCACTAAAACTGGTTTTCTCTGATAGAAATACTAATAAATCAAGAGCATCTCTTTCTGGTGCTCTTCCAATTAGAACTCCCTGTGTCGCCGCTTCTTTGTAAAGTTCTTCCAAACCTATTTTTTCTGCTAACGTAGCTTCTGGTTTTGTAGGATCAAAATCTGAACCTGGCCCTTTGTAAATAATCTTTTTTTTTTTAGTTTTGTTTATGAGTTTTTCACATTCTGGTTTATTTGAGTCTTTGCAATTTTTTCCATAAAAATAACATTTTTCAAGTAAAGAATGCCCTCTTTTTTCTAAGTCACCACTAGGTTCTAGTACATTCTTTATCTCTGTTTTCAGAGAGTTACATTTTTCTTCTGCTGCTTGTACTAGTGATAGACATGTAGACTCTAGATTTAAACACCTTTGCATCAACTCGTTATTTTCTTGACCCAATGTGCGGCAAACATTTTCAATCTCCTTCCTACACTTATTTTTATCTTGAAGATTTCCTTTAAGTGCCCTCAAAAGAGTTTCTTCAGCCACTTTATCACGCTTCTTTTGATAACATTTATTTCTTAAAGTGTTACAATTATCTTTAAGATCATTAGGGAATGCTTCCTCCAAAAAGAGACATTCCTGTTCATTTACACAATCACTGCTTTCTAAGTTTGATACTTCTTTTTGGACTACTTTTTCTAATTTTGATTTGAATGTGTTGCGTTTATTTTCAATTTTAGATTTTAGTTTTTGGCATTTTTCTTGAGCTTTATTTCTTTCACAGAAATCATTAAGTTTTTTATGTATTTTTTCTTTATTTATATTTAAATTTTCAAATTCTTTGCAGTATTTTTCTAGTTTAGTTTTGCATTTATTGTCATTATTATAATCTTTTCCTGCAATCAAAGCAAAAAGATAATCCTCATCATCATATACACTTTGCACTACTTGCGTCACTTGTGTCTGCCGCTTAACCGCCCGCGCCACCGCCCGCGCCAAGCTGTGCCTGACGGGGGTGGGCTGAGCTGTGGTGTGTGGTTGAGTTTGAGTTTGAGTTAATGTGTTTTGACTGCAAAAATTGAAGAGATTCGTTTCCATATTAAATTTAAATATTAAATTATCCTTAATTAATTTTAAGGGTGTTCAAGTAAATTCAGTGACAAAACTTGTCAGAGAAGCTGTGTGCAAAGTATATCTTTAGTGTGTCCATACAATTATTGTGATACATGCTTTACTACACGTATTTAAATTTGTGTGGGGTAAATGTGGGGTAAATGCGGAGTAAATGTGGGGTAATAGTAAAATTTGAATAAATAAAAAGTAGAATGTAAAAGGACATAAATGAGAAATAAAGGTTATTTAGATAAAGAATAGTGGTCAATTAAATAAGGAACACGCGATTTCATGTGTAATGCACTTTCAATTGATGCTGAAGAGATGACTCAATCTACCTTACTCTTTCCTCTCCTACCCTGCTTGCTCATCTAGTAAATATACATGCTCATCATTAAATCTTGCTCATTTGCTTTCTAAATCATGAACGAAATAACCATTGCTACTATCACCCCCCTCATCACGCTCCACCCACTCATCTTCAATCCCTCATTCGGTTTCACGTCTTCTGCATCATCCCCTGTCGTACACTTGGTTGGTTTGCACCGCCTCGTTGATGTGAGTGTTATTTTTGATGTAATCGTAGATGTGATGGTAGACGTGCTTGTGTGTGTCGATGTCTGTGTAACCCATGTGTCTGTTGTCTGTAAAGATTTGCATTCTGTTGCCTTCGGATCGGTAACGGTTGTTGTTGTCGTCGTGGTCGTCGTTGTGCTTTCTGTGACTATTTCGTGCGACTTCACCTCCAGAGGCTTCAGATCGCGACATGTCTTCTCAATCCTTCCACACACTTCTTTTAAACCATCGCAATCGTCTTTAATCCCGCAATCCGATTCCAATTTCTCACATCTTTCCTTCAAATCTACATATCTTCCAAATACTTCTGCTGCCAAATCAAATGCTTTGGCTTCCAATTCTGTCACAAGTACATCCTTAACTCCTCTCCGTAGTATTTTCACATGTTCTGTGATATCTTGAAGTCCGTTTGAAACGGTATTCTTATCCTTGTTTTTGCTACTATTTTTCGATGCATTATTTTCATCTTTCTTAACGAATAATAAAACAAGATTGGATTTATTCATTGTTTTCTCTGCCTGTTTTTTAAGTTTTTCAAATGTTTCAAAATCATCTTTTAGGTCTTTTTCCTCATGCTCCAGTTCTGCTGGTAATACTTTGCACTGCTGTTCCACTTCTTCTACTAATTTTAGACAAAGCTTCTTTCTAACATTTTCATCATCCTTTTCAGTTTTATTTTTCGTATTATTTTTACATAAACTGCTGATTGACGCATTATTTACGTCTTTCAATACTGTACAATATCTTTCTAATGCAGGCTCACATTTATTTCTATTACTTAAATTCCCTCGAAGCTCTACTTTAAGAGCATCTTCTAAAATCTTCCTTTTGTAGAATGGTTCGCAATATTTTTTAAGATTTTGACAGAAAGTTTTTCCTTTTTTAAGATCAGGACAATTGGGTAAAAATCTATCACAGTATGGGTGCCATGAGGGACAGATATTTGCTGCTGATTCTGTTTTTATTTGATTTTTTTTAAGGGAATTATTAATATCTGATGCTTGCATATTTTTTTCGAATACTTCACACCTGTCTTTCACATCATCTACCATCAGCTTACACGTAGCGTTTTGGAAAACACATACAAAAGAGAAACGGTCATCGCCTCTTCTAGACCATTTATTACACTTTTTTTTCAGATATTTTACACAACTTTCTTGATCTTTCAAAGTATCCTTGTGTTCATCCAGTAAAACCTGCTTCAAGATTTCTGTAGTCCCTAAGCGATCGCATTGCTGCTTTAGTGTATGACATGGCCACTTAATCTGATTTGAATCCTTTCCTAAAGTTTCACACTTTCTCCCCAATTCTTTGCAATCTTTGTCCGTTGGAAAATCTCGCTTTTGATCCAATTGTTTCCGCAAAAAGACAGCTCTTGTTTGGATATCAGCTGCAAGTATTCTAACTGCTTTAAGTGGATTAATACATAGTAAAAACAGCTCATCGCTTGTTGTTTTAAGTCCCGAACATTCATCCATTATTTTATCCAGTAGCTTCTTAAACCATTCTTTGCCTGAACCACGAAATAGTCCATACATCTTACTCTGCAATGCTTCATTAGCTAATGCTTCAACTCCTTTCTTATAACATGCTGCTTTAATATTCTTGCATCCTTTCTCAAGAGGACCTTTATCTTGAGCAAAATAAAAGCAGTCTGATTGTAACCTTATACATTCTTCTTCAGTAATAAATGTTGTCAACTTGTTCCAACTAACAATGTTATTTTGTCCGATTGAGACAAAATGTTTAGCTCCAATTTTTGCAGAAAGAATTTTAGTACTGTTTGCTAGCTCATCCTGTAGCTTTTTACACTTTTCAGTACCATTTTTTCCAATAGTACCACTGTCATTACATAAATCTCCTAAAACCTCATGTTCTTTTAACTCTTTACACTTATTTTCAAGAACTTTTTTGCATTTTTCCTCCACTTGAGTATTACCTGAATTCTGAATCAAAAGTGCCAGCAAAGCAGTTGCGTCTCTTACAGGAGGCTTTCCGATATGAACACCTTCTTTTTCGGCCTTTTTATAAAGCTCTTCCAGCCCTATGTCTTCTGCTACTGTAGGCTCTGGTTTAGTTGGATCAAAATCGGGTCCTGGTGGTATATAAACAATATTTTGTTCTTGACATTTCTCTCCCAATTCATCACACTTTGGTAGATAGTCCTCGCAGTCTTTATTTGGAGACTTGCACTTTAATTTGTCTCCTTCGCAGTTCCCTCTGTAAAAATAGCACTTCTCAAGTAATAATAGACATTTTGTTTTTAATTCGTTCTTATTGAGTGCTGTTTTAATACTTGTTTCTATATCAGTACATTTTTCTTTTTTTTTTGATACAAATTTGTCGCATGTTGTTTGTTGATCAAGACACAACATTGTTAATTCATCACTTTCTTGACTTAATTCTAGGCAAATCTTTTTAAGTTTTTCTTTGCATTTATTTTCATTTTCAATATTCCCATGAAGTGCCCTCAAAAGAACTTCTTTTGCTACTTTGTCACGCTTTTTTTGGTAACATAGATTCCTTAGTTTGTTGCAATCCTCTATAAGAACACTAGGGCATGCACCCTCCAAAAATAGGCATTGTCGTTCACTCTCTTTGCAATTATCATCTGATGGATTCTTTACCGCTTGTTCTAGCTTTTGTGTTTTAAAATTTGTACATTTCCTCATAACTTTGGCTTGTAGACCTTGACATTTTGTATTTGCTTTACTTGCTTTCCCATTTCCACAGAAATCTTTAAGCATTTTATGTACTTTCTCCATATCTAGTGATGCTTTTTTCAACTCTTCGCAGTATTTTTCTAAACTTTTTTTGCATTGTGATTCATCCACTACATTTTCTTTTAAAATCAAAGCCAAAAGATACTCTTCTTCTTCATATACACTAGCTCCTTGCGCCGCTTTTGCCTGCCGCTTAACCGCCCGCGCCACCGCCCGCGCCAAAATCTAGAGGATATTAATGTGAAAGCGTGCTTGTTGGCTGTGTGGGCAGATTTTTAAAGCCGTTTCTATTTTATATTGTCTTCATTATGTTAAATATTGAAAGTTTTAAAGGCAGTTTTTTGAGAAAAAAGAGTAATCCTATGCCATTTCTGTATTAATGACGATGTTTAAAGTGTCTTTTCAATTAATGAGTATAATTTGGAAATACTTAAAAATTGAGGTTTGCATTTGAATTCGATAAGATTGCATATTCTAGCAAATAGTAATTGTTGAGAAAAATGAAAATGAATTTTAAAAAAGGTGAATATATTGTTTTTCAAAAGTATTTTTTTAAAAATTAAATTTATATCTTGTTTTCCATGTTTGATATTGTTTTTGAGAAATTGATGAGAAAAAATCCTTTGTTTTTCAATTATAATAAATAATTCTTTTGCTTCCTTGAAATCATATTTATCTTTTTTTCTAATTCATTTTTATAAAATTGTTTTTTTATATTTCATCATTCATCTTTTTACCATTCTGTTCCTTTTATATTATACTTTTTAACACGTGTAAAGACAGCTTAAGAGGAACATAGCTGGTACTGAACAGATGCACGATATAAGCTGGATAATTATCAGGCACTGGTCAATTTTTGCTGGCTTATTTTTTTGCCATACAGGGTCCTGTGACCTGCATACCAGGCAAATCTGGAATCTTCAGGTCTGATTGATCTTCATGTTGCTGCACTAAATATTTATGCACTGTTTAATATTTATGTTGAACATTTTTTTATTGGATATTCCTAAAGTTCTTCTTGAGTCTCTCATATCTTTCTCTAGGGAATTCTCCTTCAGATCACTTTTTAGAATATCTTCTGAATTTCTCGAGTTTTACAGCCCAATGCAAATGCTTATTATTTTTTAAAACCATAACAAAAACTTTTTTTAAATCATAGCAAAAATTCCCTTTAAATCACAACAAAAACTTTTTTTAAATCATAGCAAATGTTCCCTTTAAATCACAATAAAAACTCCTATTACCCATATAACAATACTCGTTGCTCCCAATCCAGATATTTTTATCCCCTCGTTTGGCATCACTGTATGATCTGCTTCAGTTCTAGTTTCAGGCTTTCTTGTTTGTGTTTCTTCCGTTGTACATGGTACTGGTTTGCATTTTTGTGTTAGTGTTGTTACTGATGTAGTTGTAGTTGTTTTTGTAGATGTTGATTTGCTTGTTACCCACGTGGTCTTTGAATGAAGCGCAACACACTTTCCCTCCATCACTGTAGTTGCTACAGTAGATTCTGACTGAGTATCCGTTATAGTTGTTGACTCTGTAAGCGTCGTTGTTGATATAGACGTTGTTACACGAGGCTTGGCATCAGGCAATACAAACGCCTCACAAGACTTACGTATTTTTCCACATGAATCTTTAAACTTAGGACAGTCATCTTCAAAGACACACTCTTGAATAAAATGATCACAGATGCCCTTGGCTTCTAAATATAACTCTACAAGTAAAGACACCAGATCAAACGCTAACCCTTGACGCACTGATGGCTCTATGTCCGAGGCATCCTCACGACGTACAAGTCTAACATAAGCCGTGTTATTGCTGTGAAGATGATGATTCTTCTTCCCATCTGCTGTTTGAGAAATGGCCAAGAATAAACCAGAATCATTAATAGCTTTTTCAGTTTCTTGCTTGGTTTTTTTAAATTCATTTGCTCTATTTTCCAAGTCCTTAGCTACTTTACCTAGTTTAACTGGTAAGGTATTGCACAATATTCTCATTAACCCAATAAGTTTATCACAAATTTCATTTCTTGTGTTTTCATTTTTATTATATTCTTTACATGGATTTTCTAAAGTTCCGTTTGGCTTTGTTGAAGTTGAACAATAATCACCTAGCTGCTTACTACAAGCACCTTTATTGGTCAAAAAACCTTTTATATTGTACATGAAGGCTTTTAATAGAGGCAATTTTTCGCGAAACGTCTTACAGTTCTTCTTGAGACTCACGCAAAGACCATCTTCGCCATTATTGCCCTGTTTTAGTTTATCAGGACAATTCCCCGTAAGCATATCGCAGTATCCTTCCCAAAGAAAACAAATATCGTCTCTTTTTCCATTGTTTTTTGACTCCTCAATGATATTGTGACTTTCTATATTTTCCTTAAATGCCAAACAATGATTTTGTACCTCTTCAATCATTATAACGCATGATTTGTGGTGTGCTACACATGTAAGATTGAATGGATTTATTTCCCTCCTAAACCACCGAGGACACTTCATATCTAAATATGTTGTGCAATTATCGACGTTTGCCAAAATATCTGTATTTTTACTCAACAAACTGTCTTTTACTTCTTTCGTGTTCCTCAAATGAGCACAATTCCTCTTTAGCGTGGCACAAGGACCATTAAGCTCTTCAAAATCCTTTGTCAGGTCTTCGCACTGTTTCTCCAAAACGAGACAATCCTTTTCTCGGGGATAATCTCTTGTTTTATCTAAAACATGCCGTAGACGATGGCTCTTTCGTTTTACATCCTCTGCAAGTGCTCCGCATGTTTCTTTTGGCCTTAAACACATTGAGAGTATAACTATACTATTGTTTCTGACTACTTGACACCTTTCTACTAGTTTGGTCATACATTTTTTAGTTCCATCTGAATCTAAGTCGTGAAGTAATCCAAACAATCCTTCCTCCAACACATCCCTTGCCTGTCCGTAAATTGCTGATTTAAAACACTCTAGTTTTAGATTTTTACAAGCATTGTAAAGAGTATTATTAGAATATGGATCTATATAATGGCATTTATAGTTAAGGCTTATACAATCTTCTTTGGACATTGTTCCTGGTAATTCGTTCCACGAGTATGGTTTAGATTTAGTAGTATCACTTGCCTTGGAAAGTTTGTGATTAAGAACTAATTTGAGAGACATGCATTCCCTTTCTAGTTCATTGTTTAATTCTTCGCATGTTTTATTTTTGTTAGTTTTTTTGCATATGTTTTTTAGTTCTTGTGTTAGATAATCAAAAGAAGTGCAATTTTCTAGGGATTTAGTGCAAGACTGAGTATTGTCTAATTTACTTGCATTGTCTCCAGTATAATAGTTTGAAAATAACAAAAAATGTGAAAACTTTGTCGACAAGGATTTTCCAAGAAAAACACCAAGAGTTAACGCTTCTGTGTGAAGCTGTTGAAGATCTATTTTCTCCTGCAATGTAGGTGGAAAGTCTAATGGGTTAAAAGGAAGACTGTGTGTGTGTGTGTGGGGGGGGGGGGGGGGTATATGATATTTTCTTTTTTGCAATGTTTTTTAAGCACCATACAGTTCTGCACTTCTCCATTTTCGCAGTTTGACGAGTGGAAATAACATTTCCTGAGTAAAGGATAACAGTCATTTTTCAATGTACTAGTATTTTTTAATGTATTGAGATCTTTAAGAGCATTACAGTTGTCTTTTGTTCTATTAAGGAGAACTCCACATGTTTTCTTCAAGAGAAAACAAAACCAGAGTAAATGATAACTTTCTCTATTTAACTTGAAACATGATTCTTTAATTTTTTCTTCACATGCTGCTTGACTTTTCAAATCCCTAGGAAGAGCCCTTAAAAGAGCTTCATAAGCTAAATCTTCATTTATTTGACGATAACATTGTTCAGTTATTTCATCGCATATAGAAGAAAAATCATAAAATTCTCGGAAAATCACGCATTGGATATGAGCATAGTTGCAACGGGTTTTTCCTAAAACCATATTACCTGAACTACCCGTAATAATATCTTGAAGATAACCCTTGGCATTACTCGAGAGAGTATCAATTTGAGTTTTAAGATCGTTGCATTTCTTCTCTGCATTTTCACAAAGTCCTTTTAATGCAGGATGTACATCCTCTGGAACTAAACTAGTGTTTTTCAAATCCTTGCAGTATTCTTTTAGTTTTCCCTCACATCGAAATTCTGGGTTTTTTCCTAGAATCAAAGATAAAATTTTTTCTTCGCTGCATAAAAATGTTAGTTTTGTATGTTTTGTTGCTGCTTAAAATTTTCTATACCTTAATGAATCTAATGATAAATCGGATGGTAAGTCTAATGGATTTTGTGATGGATCTTGTGATGGATCTGATGCAGATCTTTTATGAATGAATTCTAAAAAAAAGTTAAAAATGTGAAAAAATAAAATATAATACATATAATACCAATGTTTTTTGAGAAAGCATACGCTATACCAAGAAAACTGGCTAATACGAATGCTTTCATCTATAATGATAACAACAAATAATTTTTATAAAAAATGTTTCATATTTGACATCGAAAAAATATCTTTCTCACTAAAAAATAGCGATAAACGATAATATTAATAACCAATATTCGATAAATAGATAGATATTGTTTTGTATTATATTTTGTATTATGTTTACATGTTTTATTTTTCATCTAGTTTTTACTTTTAAATCTATAAATTTTCATAAAAATATATTCTTAAAATATATTAAATATTTTAAATGATATAATTTTATTAGTAATACTTTTTATAATTCCTATTTCTGTATTTTTTATTATTTTTTATTATTTTTTCTTGCGTTCTTGTTATTAATTTTCATTTTATCCATTTTGGTTTTATTTTTTAAATCTGATTTTGTTTAATTTTTTTTATATTATTTTTCTTAAAAATATGATTTTAGAAATATGATTTAAGATTTTTGTTAATTATTTTTTATTCACTTTTTATATTTTGTTTTAAGTCAAAATGTGAATTTAAAACTATGTAAATAAGATTTTGTATTTTTCCTAAATTTTTTTCCTAAATTTTTTGATTTTTTTTCTCTTAGAACAGAAATTATAAAAATATTCTTTAAATAATGATTATTCTTTTTTAAATTTATTAATGTCTTCATGTCTTTCATTAATAATTTTAATTTTTTTTTACTTTTTTAGTTATTTATATAATGTTTTATATGCATTTACTAATAAATTGTTTTAATTGGCTTTAAAAAAACTTAATTTTTATTTTAAATTTTTTTATTTAAGATTTTTTTCAATCCTTTTTTAAGAATTTTACGTTATTCAGGTTTTTTTATAATAATTAATTTTTTATGATATATTAAATATTCTTAAAACTAGATGTTTTGTTTATTTTTCAGATATTTAGCATTTGAAAGATTGAATATTTTTTGTCATCTTGCTTTTAAATTAATTCATTCTTAAGTTTGCTTTAGAAATCCATGTATTTGTTTTTTTTATTGTTTTTTTTGGCTTTTTATGTATTTTTCTTATTTACAGAACTTTTGGAATTTTCCATTTTATATTATGTTTGTAGAACTATGATGCATGTTTTCTTTGACTGTTCAAAGTATTTTTTTAATATATAAAAGGCTGTTTTTTTTTTTTGAATTTAAATTAACTATAAAAAATATGATCAATTTATAAAGAATTGATATTTTTTTAGAAAAAAAAAATAATTTTCAAAAATAGTAGAATAAATGCATTGAATGTATTTAACTATAATTCTTTAATTTATTTCATAAAAATATTCAAATAATTTTTTCATTCTTATAAATGAGTATTAGCTATATAATTATCCAAAACATTTCATGAAAATACTAATAAATACTAATAAATAAATATTGTTCTAATTTTAAACAATTATCCACATTCCCAGTATTGTTCCTGCAACCATCCAGATTAACTCTATTTCCCTTAATTTTCTTGGCCTAACTCCAAAGCCCACTATACGTCTATCGTCAGAGGATGTCGTTGGTTTAGGCCTTAATGAGCGTGTAGTTGAACGTGTAGTTGATGAACGTGTAGCTGATGAATGCGTAGCTGATGAATGCGTAGCTGATGTAGTTGGTAAACATATCGTTAACAATTGTGTACTTGTTAATATTGCAGTTGAATTTGTCAGTGTTGGTTTTGGCTCTGGCAATTCTGGTGATTCTGGTGGTTCTGATGGAGTCTCTGGTGTTGATGATTCTGGTGGTTTTGGTGCTGGTTCTGATGG